CATTTTTCTTCCTCACTCTTGTGATGGGGTGATGGTTTGGTACCTTTATAATTAATTAGTTTAGGAGGCAGCAGTAAGAGGATATACACCACATGATCAGACAAGCAAAGTAAAGGGGCCCAGTGATCATTTCAGCAGACAGAGCCCATTCCAAAGGGTAACACAAACCAGAATTTTAGAAAAAAAAACCTCTGTAGATAGTTTAGGTAGGTGCTATATGCTAAGATGTACCTCATTTACTTCTTTTGAATCCAGAGCTAGAATCACAGAATCATGGTCATCATGGGGTTTGGATGGGCTTCTGGAAACCTCCAGTCCTTACTCATAAAAGAGTCAGCTAGACAAGGCTGCCCTGCTGAAATTTGAGTAACTTCAAGGATGGAGTTCTGGATCTCTGCTCCAGTGCCTGACCACCCATTTTCCTTGCGTCTGATTTCCTGTATTCCAGCATGTCCATGGTGTCTTGCATCTTTCCTCTGTCCATCTTTGAGAACAGTCTGCCTTCATATCCTGCAAGTAATTATCTCTAGACTGCAGTAGGTCCCTTGACCTGTCTTCTGTCTGGGCTTAACAAACTCACATCTCTCAGCTCATTCCCTCTGCCAAGTGCTCCATCCCCTGGAGCACCCTGGCTGGCCTGTGCTGGACTTGCTCTGGGATGTTCCTGTCTTGTGCTGGGGAGCCCAAAACTCACAGAGCTCCAGTTGTGCTCTCACAAGTGTTGAGCAGAGGTGAAGGACCACCCTCCTGGACCTCCTGGTTGCACTTCCACTGGCCCAGGGTGCTGCTGGTCCTCAGGGGCCCATTTCTGGGTCCTGTTGAATTTGTCCACCAGGACTCAAAGGCTGTTTTTAGCAAAGCTGCTCCCTGATCAGTCATTCCTATCCTGTGTCTTGTGTATTGGGCTGTCCCATCCCAGGTGCAGGGATTTGCTTTTGATTTTGTTGAACTTGGTGAGATTCTTTACCTTACTGAGGTCCTCCTGAATGAAAGCCCTGCTCCCCACTGTACTTTACTGTTCTCCCCAGTTTTGTGTCATCTGCAAACTTGCTGCATTATTGGTTCCAGTTCTGGCTCCTGAAGACTTAGTTTGTCTGGCTAATGGCCACTAGGTGGACTTTGAAGTCTGGAGATGAACCTTTGACTGGGCTCTCCAGCCAATTTTCAAGCCTGTTTACTGTCTGTTTTTCTAATATATATATCTCTAATTTTGGTCTAGGGCTGCTCTAGGAAAATACATCACAGAGCTTAATAAATCCAAGATAAACAACATCCACAGTTCTCCCATCATCCATGCTACCAGTCATCCCAGCTGGTAGATGATGGTAGAAGACAATCAGGTTGGTAAAATATGATTAATTTCTGATAACTCTGTCTGGTTGTTCCCAGACAGCTTCTTGATATGCCTGGAAAGAGCCAAAAATTTAAGCTTTATTTTTAAGCCTTAGTTTTAGTGAGGTTTAAAAAACTGGTACCAAAGTTACAAAATCTGGCTAAACACTGGCAGAGCAAATCTACTGAGCTATTTCTGAATAGAACCATATTTTGCTTTGTGGTAGGAGCCACATAACTACAGAGGTAACTGGAGGATTTGGCAACAACTCCAGTATGAATAATTTCAGGCTCCTTATTCACACACAGAGCCAAAGATAAGCTATCAACTGATCTGAACAGATTGCATTAGCTGAGATCTGATACCTTGTATTCAAAGCTTATAATATTTGTACAGCTATTGAATTTTCTCAAGTGTAAGGATTGCAGATAATTTAACTTGTAATTGTAGTCCATTCTTAATCTTAACTGCTTTCTTAGGCTGTTATATTTAAATTCATATTCAAGAACTTCATGTTCCTTATATGAATGTTTCTTTTAATTAAACAGGATAAGTGCTTGCTACTGTGAGTTAAATTCTGAACCAAACAGAAATTGGATTGTGTTATCTCTGGGTGAATGTCTTTTGAGAGAGTTCCTGTTTGTGCTGCCTCATTAAAGTTGTCTAGTGGATATTTAGCTGCTAAAAAAAAACAAGAGACCTTATAAGTATTCCACTTAAACCCATTTGGTAGGGTTTTCTCACCTTGTTTATAATTATCTGTACTTTTAAAATGTCAGTGTTATAAGGTTAACAAATCCTCCTTTCTGCAGCAAGTATATTTGAAGGAGACTGAGGGGAAGAAAAATCCTTCCTTTCCCTCTAAGTCACTAAGGTGGCACAAGCTGCTGCTGCACCTTATCAAAAGTACTGAGAACACCTTATTAATTCCTTCAGCTTTTGCACAGCATGACTTATGCTATGGATTGTGTTCATGTGTAATCTATTTTTTAAGGCTAACTCACAAGAATTCAGTGGGATTTATTTCTGTATATATGATTGTTACCTAGGTAATAGCAGCAAATGGTCTCACTGTTCTTTCATCAGAACAGCGTGTGCAGTTAGGGAATAATTGTTTAGTTTACTATTGGAAAATGACTTTTTCTTTTTTAGATTTCTGTTTCTTTTTTTTTTTTTCCCAGTATATTTCTAGAATCTCTCTTAAGTAAAAATAACTCTGCTGCTACTTCTCCAAGTACCTCGAGGTAGAAAACATTAAAAAAAGGAAATGCAGGCATGAGGCATCTATATGTTTCAAAGGTGTCTTCATGTAGAGTGGAGTCATTCTGTTCTAGGCCTGCTCTATACCACACTCAAGTCAGAGGTGGTAAAAAATCTTTATGTTCAGATGGCCATGCAGCAGCCTCAATAAAACAAATCCATCCACTAATTTCCAGTGAAGACGTATTAAATTAATCAAATCTTGCCATGAGTACAAATCCTTACTTTTCCCTCCCTTGCTTTAGATGCAAGAAGAAGTATTTCAGAAGGAGAGTAACCCAGAACTGTGGGCCATGAACCTTCCTATCAGAAGGGCAGGTGGTGTTTCTTGGAGTTTCTTGTTTCTTATGTTTCTGTTAAGCAGTGTTAGCTGGTGTGATGGTCTGCTCCTGTAGGAGGGTGAATTTTTCTCGTGACCAAGGAACTAACAACATAGTTCCTAGATCTTCTCATGCAGGTCTGTTAATATGAGAACATTCTTTCTGTAGGTACCCATTATTAAAAATTTGGGATTACAGTTTTTCATAAGTGGTTCCGGGTATAAAAGCTTATAATTCCACCTGAAGAGATCTGAAGAAACACCATTCTTTAGAAAGTGACATATGGCTTTCCATGAAAAACTTTGACTGACCTCAAGCTGAGTATCAAATATAGCTCAGGAGTATTAGGACCAGTCACTGTGAAAACTCTTTGTTATGATGTAAAGGATTTTATTGAAGTGGTGATATAGAAGGGCTGCTGTTGATGTAATATCCAGGAATAACCCTCTGGCTTGACAAACCACTAGCAAAGCTCTCTGTGTGGACAGCTCCTCTAATGAGCTGAAAATGAAAACACCTGGCCATTATTCATTAAGAGTTTCTCAATACATCAAGTCAAGTTTTACTCAGATGCCTCACTGACTGCAAGCTTTCTTTATATTTACCAGTGGTGGCAGAGGTCCTGTGGTCATTCTGCAGGCAGAGGCACCACAGCTGTGTAAGGCACATTTCCAGCTACTGCTAGAAGGATGGGGGTGGGCTGGACAATCAGATTAAAACCACAAACAAAACCGGGTAGCTGCTAATGAAGCAACTTGGTGAAGCAGTCTATGTAAATTTATTTAAATACTTCATCTCCATCTCTGTTTCGGTTTGTTTTGTTTTGTTTTAAGGTGAATAGAGAGACATAGATGTAGAAGAACCTTTGCAGGCTACTATAAATACCCATTGTGAACATCTTTATGTGTGACTTGTGTTTATACTCTTCTCTATTACATATCCTCCCTGTGCTTTTCTCTGCTGCAGTCCTTACAATGCCTCCAGCATGCTCTGTGTCGCCTCTGTTGCAGGAAATGTGTTGAGTGTGGCCTTCCAGTGGGTTCTCAGAGTACAGATCCTGCTTCCCTGGCACAAGGCAGACTTGCTCCTGGCTTCCCAAAAGCACCAATGGGTCCCTCCCAACCCAGAATGTTCTGTGGTTCTGGATTCTGATAAAGCTTTCATTGTCTCAAACGATATCCCCAGGCAGTTTTGTTTTTAAGGGCACATTTTCAACAGCTTTTTTTTTTTTTTCTTTTTTTTTTTGCTTTTGCTATGCAGTTGCTGGGATAAAATTTCATTCTTAAGACACTTATTTGGATCTATAGAAGCCAGATCCAATCTTATGCACTCTTTCAAAATGCTGAACAAACACCACTGCCTGAGGGAAATGCACTTGTTTGCTTTTTCCTCCTTGTAATTCCCAAATGGGGGTGATGATGTTAAAGGACTGCAACCAGTGACTGTAAACACAATAAACTCAGCTTTGTCCAGCTTCTTTTTTTCCTTAACTCTTTTTAAATAGAAGCTTTTTCTGCCTCCCTCTGTTAAAAAATAATTGTTTTCTTGCATGCCCTTGAATATTTGGTTATTACAGTTATCCTGTAAAATGTATACACTTAATGAGAGTTTAGGGAGAGTGAGGAAATGTATTATGGAATTATAGTGTAGGTTTTTTGTGTCTTGTCTGATAAGGTGACTTGTTTGTCCTTAACGAAAGTTTGTTCATTAATTATGTTAGAATTATGACTTATTATAAATTAATGCATCATAGTGAATTAACTTGATCTTTATTATCTAAGAATTTTTTGGTTTATGAGCGATTTATGATGACTCCTCAGGGTTTTCTATGCAGTACAGTTCACTTAACTGAGTGGGTTACAAATCTCTCTGTCTGCTACAGTGCAGTGTGGTGCCCCTAAAAGTTAAGATGCATTTCAGCATATAAAAATCAATTGATAGCTAACACTGGCTTTGCCTGCAAGTTGGAGTACTCTGCAGGTACACAGTGGGATTATAAAATATAATTCTGGTTGTGTGGACCCCCATTTGTCTGAGTCATTCCCTTTCTCTTGCTCTGCTGTGGCCATTAAAGAAATCAATCCTAATTCAGGGTAGATCCCAAAGCATCCTGTGTAAAGCTTTTTTAAACTGGCTCTTAAAACAGAAGGTGATATGCAGCATACCAACACAATGGTGTCCTCCCAGCCACTGGCACTTGGTATGATCACCCAATAGGCATTTTTTTCCTCCCATTGATGTGTGTTGGTTCTTCTGCACTTAAAACACAACAATAATGAAAAAAAGATGATCCCCCCCAAAACATATTTTCTTTGGGAATCTCTCTTTCAACACTGATTGGTTTTGATTTTTATCCAGAAATTCTTACAAAATTCACTGTGTTAGATTATCAGTTTTGCCTTTCTTTTGCAAGGCTTAATGGGCAATTACCTAAAGAGCTTGCCTAATTATGGATACCTGCCTCAGCTCCCCAAATATAACTTTAAAATTAGTGATTTCCCCATTTTATTCTAATGTTTCTTTAGCCTGTGCAAAGTAACCCATGAAGTTTTTGACTCATTGGTTTAACCCTTGACTTTTCTGTAGTGAGTCATAGTTTCTGTCTGGATGCTTCAACTCTCCTGATACTTTCAGTTTATTGTTGTCCTACGTGACAGTTTTGGGGGTTGATGCTGTTTCACTTTAAGCAAATTCCATAAAATCCAAGTAGGCATTTTATTGGCATCCTAACTCGTTTGGGTTTTGTTGGCTTTTTTTATGCAGCACTCCAGGCATGTGAGAGCTGATTTGGAGCTCCTTGAAGGTTTCTGACGAGGTGCTGGAGCACCTTGTGCTACAGCAAGAAATGTAAGAGATGTCATCCCTGCCTGCTTTGAGCGTGTCATGCTCATGTATTTGTCCCTCACGTGAGAGCTTAGCTCTACTTTCTCTTCTGCCCTCACATTTTGGGTTACTTTAGGGGTAACAATTCACTACAATTCAGACACTAACAGTTGTTAACCGCCTTCACCCCCACACCCAGAGTCCCCTGAATGGTTAATTGGTAAAAGAGACCCAAACAATAGCATTAATTCATCCCTCAGAAACATCTGTCCACAGTCTCAAAAGACACACAATCAATATGGTAAGATATGGATAAAGTGTTAGAATGTATGCCAAAAATGTTTTTGATCCCTGCCTGACATTACTGGATTGTTTCAGCTGATTGGTTAATGCAAAATTTATATGGAAAAGTCTACATATATGTACAAAATCAGATTTTATTAAAGCAGAAAGGAGACAACCCTGAGCATGAAAGGGTTTCCTTTGGTCAAAAACAAAACCAGCAAGCTTGAAATATGGTGGGAACAACACTGTTACTAATTCCTTGTGTAAATAATTTATCTTCTCTCCGTATCTTTTTATTCTTCCTATCTTTGTCTTGACTTTTTCGTTTATAAGTTTATAATGAAAAATACGTGTTTTTTTGAGTATGTTTACATAACCTATCACAGCAAAATGGTGCTTTGGAAGGGTGATGGGGGATGTGGGCACTTCCCAACTCCACATTTTCATCTTGGCCATTTTGTTCTGATGGACAGGAGCTTATTCTGTATGTCTGCATCTAGGGCCAGGTGGGAATATAAAATATCTGACTCTTGCTATAATCTGGCTCTTTTCAACAACTTTGGAAGCTCAAAGCAGACATTGCTAAATATGTTCCACTTTTTTTGCACCCCCATGTGAATTCATCTGAATGCCCTCTGAGGTAAGAGCAGAAACAAGATCTCATACTTAGCCACACCTTGCTTGACCACCTGAACTGTGGAAAAAAACTACCACAGTGCAAAATGTGTGAGCTCAGGCAAGTTCCTGACTTGCCATTCTGTAGCAGGAAAGTCTCTTGGATTTCTCACTTTACCTGTGTTACGTGATTTAAAAAATGCAAGCCCAATGTTTCGAGATTTTTGCTTTTGTCTTGAAGCAAATGATGTAACAGAAGCAGCTTTGTCCATTTTTAAGGATTTTTAAATCTCACATAAATTCTGGGAAGGCCAGGTGCTATATCTGAGTACGTAGGGAATAACTGGTCATGCAAGATACCATGTGTAATCTATGGTTAAAACCTTCTATAATTCTTAATGATATTAAATTCATCCAATTTGAATTAGAAAAGGAATGACTTTTATTGGAGTATCTGTATCCTTCTTTGCTACTCTGTCTTCAGCCTCAGCATTATGGGGCAAAACAATAAAAAATTTAAATTAACTTTTCTTCTGAGATTATCCATTATTTTTCTACAACAAAAGAAATATTAAATGGGATATCCCTACTCTGTCTTACTCTTACCCTGAAATACAAATATGACATGAGGAAACAAGGAAAGACACTGCTATTAACCCTTTTGTATTCTTGACTGCAGTAAAATGCATTTCATTTCGAATGGGAGAGTAAAAGCCATCTAAAAGTATCTCCAAGGGTCATGGTCAATAGATGTTAATTTGCAGATATTGTTTACAGCTTTGGAAGTAGGCAGTAACTTTGTTTCTTACTTGTTTATCTGCTGTGAAAACAACCCTGTGTTGTCAGCACCGTTGGCAGCACAAATCCAAAACACGGCCCCATAGTGGCTACTGTAAAGAAAATTAACTCCATCTCAGCTAAAACCAGAACATTATCTCAATCAGGAAAAAAAAAAAAAAGGCTGGTACTCATTGTAATTGCTGCATATTCCTTCTCAGGGAAGAGAAAAGAGATGTATGGAGTCACTGTTAAATAATTTTCTCGGGCCCAAAACCATCCAAGCCAACTTTTATCTGTTGCAGATACTTCACTTTTATTCACCTGCCCTGCTTCTGTCATTAGGGCTCCAAAATAAGAGCAAGACTGGCAATCCAGTCAAGTGAAGGTGAAGGAAAAGAGAGAATTTCCCCTCATTTTACATTAGACTTCTGTCACAGCACTGAACTATTCCAATTATAACATGCAGAGTTCCATTATTTAGTAACAAGAGACATTTCAGTTTTACCCTTCCCCAATCACTGCATTTTTCAAACAATTACTGCTGGCTGTTGTAGGGTACAGAGCTTGGATTTATTACAAATCTTGAAAAATCACTAGTGAAATTTAGAAGTTTGGCTAACATGATTTAGATGTTGACATAGATTTGATGTGGGGCATATTACACCCATTATTCCAGAAGTGGCACCTTATTCCAAAGCTAGGAGTCTGCTTTGTGCTTTGGGATGTGACTTGGCACAAGATTTGCTCTCACCTGCTCAGCCCACAGCCTCCTTGCAGCCAGGCCAACATAACAGCAGCAGTAATGCTGGCTGGATCTGGGCTGACCAAATATTGTGAAGGAAGACAAGAGGAGCAGCAGGAGGCTCTGTGTGACAGGCCTGAGCCTGCCAACCTCTGCAGGACACCAACAAGCATCACTGAGAGGTGCTCTCACCTGGGACCTGCAGTGCCTGTGTCCCAGGGTGTCTCCCTAATTCCCTGATTCTTGTCTGCCTGAGCTTGTCTGGAGGCAAAAATGTCAAACTTGTTGCCTTTGATCTCCCCCGTTTTGGCACATCACCTTTTCCCCATGGGAGTGTGGTTATTTTGACTTTATGCAAATGGAGAAAAATTGATCTGTTTGGCTGCTGCAGCCAAAGTTCTGCTTCTCACCCTAAAATGTGCAGGGTAAGTGCCACAAAATGGTGCCAATTCCCACCATAACTTTGCCTTATCTATCATTTGCATGTCTGCAAGGGTCACTGACTGATGCCAGGTTTTGGATAGCAGATGTCCTTGTGTTCAGCTCTCTGTTGAACAAAATACCTGCCAGTGACAACCCAGGCAGTTTTGCTTCTGTAATTTAAATGCACTAAATATGGCATGGAGTCCACCTTAGTGCAGACAATTTGATGTTTTCTTTATGAGACTATTAAAAAGGTGATTAACACGTGCACTTTGTTAGGAAAGCCAGCAGAAAATCAGACTGCGTTTTGATTTTTCCCCCTCTCTATATCAGTTACACAATTGTTTTTTTGGCAACTAAAACCGTTTTGGGTATTTTTAGGTGGTGGTAGAGATGTAGCTGGGGTCCATAATTCATGTAATAGCTGCTCTTTAATTTGCTAGCTGTGCAGGGGGGGCTCCCTGATGACATTTTTTCTGTGGTGTTCTGTTTTTGAGAGGCTCAGAACCAACATCACTGTGTTGATATGAAGGATGATGATGAGGAGAAATACTTCCTCCCCTGTCCCCTTGCAATGGAGTTTGTTTTAATATGCTTCAAATTTGCTACACCTCCATTTCTAATGCAGTGTTTTGGGAAATGAGCATGGTCCAGTTTTTGCAATAGGAAATCACCAGGACTTGGATTTGGAAAGTTGTTACATCATCCAAACAAACTTGTTTTCAAAATTGTCAGGCTTTGGTACAAGTCAGCTACCTTTTTGAAACAAGAAATATATGTGGAGCTCATGCTTGGGAAAGAAAACCAGCCTTGATGATTACTTATTAACTAATCATCTCCAGAATTATCTTTTTCTCATAGCACTTAGCATAATTTTTTTCATATTTACTGAAAATATCCCTTTGTTAGAAAAATAAACCATAATTTATCATTGTATTGACAAAGGTGTAAGTACTTAATTGCCAACTTGTTGATTCCAGTGCTAGTTGTGCTTTTGAAATAAATGTCATATTTTAAGGAATTAATTGAGCTTTTAATGAACAAAAGTTCTCCTGAGCTTCATTTAATTGTGAAGTAATATTTCTCAAGGGACCCATTCTCAAGCAATACCTACTAAAGTTGAATTTGTTATGAAGATTTTTAGTTCTGCAAAATTTTCATAAAGAAAACTCAGGAAATAAAAAATGCTGTATGGGAATTGCTCCAATTAACTGACTAAAATCCATTGACTGGCTCCAGGGTGCCCATTTTTCCATATTGCAAACAAGATCTTATTTTCTCAACTTAGCCTATAATTTGGCATAGGTGAAAAGCTTTAATTGCTCCATCAATTTTACTGTTTGCTTTAGGTATTTCTTGCCTCTTTTCTTAGGTTTTGTAATTTTTAAATTTCTCATTCTTGTAAAGATTTAGGAATCTCTGTTCCAATGGCTTTTAAGTAAAAGCACTTGTTTGAAAACAATGCAGCTGAAAAGCACTTTCTTGGTTCTATACAACCAGGCTCTTAGCACATTTGTGTATTGCTGAAAGTTTCTCTGACTTCTGTGGATATTTTTCTTTTCTTTTATCCTTTTTACACAACTGTGAAATTCCAGTGTCTCTTAGAAAAGTATCATGATAGCAGTCATCTACAAACAGTTTCTGCAGATTTTTTTGGCCAGTAGTAGCTCTGAAATAGAAATTGAGGTGGTGGAAGCAGGAGTTATGGTAGCCAGTGCTGGATAAAGACAGACATAAGATTGTGCCTTAAGTTATCAAATTCCCTCAACTATTTCTCACCAAATAAAAACTTCAATATAATTACTGTGAGCTTTGGAGAAAATATTTATAAATATTTTTGGTTTACTTCAAAGGAAATGACTAGCTTAATGCCTCTATGCTAAATTTAAGAAAAGACTGATTAAGAATGGACATTGTTGAAAACAATTTAACTAAAGATCTGTTCCATTATTGGTAACAGGAACAATGTTGTGAAGCTAAAGGAAGAAGTCTGTAAATCTGTTTCACCAGAAGAAAGAAAAAACATTTAAGCATTTTGAAATTAGAAGTTTCATATTCCATGGTGTTGGAACGTATATTTTCTTGAATACTGGGTTCATCTGAGAACCCAGCTCCCAAGCATTAGGGAGGCCTCTGAGTCAGAACGTGGGAAGCTTTACTGATGTCCAGGATAAAGGAGAATAGCTCCACAAGCAGGCTTGGCAGTGTGAGCTGGAGTGTGCTCCTGGGTTTTCATTTAACCAGCAGTGGTCAGCAGATCCTGCTCCCCTCCCTCACCTCTGACAGAAATTTCACAGCTACCAAAACCCATCTCATAGACTGGTGGAAAGGTACTTGACCATTGGCTCCCTGACCACAGATTAAAAAGAAATTCCTGTGAATTCTGAGTGAGACTTTCTTTCTATTCTGCTGCAGTACAGTCATCCAGCAGAAGTGAACCCTGGGCAGAAATCTCATCCTAGCAATATTCCTCCTTTTCTTGTATCTTGCCCTGCTGTGACCTCCCTCCTGGTCTCAGTGCAGGGATGCTGGTGTTCTACTTGAGATCTTATGGGACAAACTCATTGCTCCTTTTGACAGTGGTATGCTGTGAGATTTAAGCATTCCCTGGGGAAAAGGATTAACTCATGCAACAGATCTGATTCCACAATCCAACATTAATTTAGAAGCGAGGCTCCACTCCACTGCTGAAGGCAAAATAAGGAAGGAGGGTTGGGAGATCCTACCCATTTATTCCAGCTGAGAATTTCACCAGAAGATTGCTGAAGTGACCAGGTCATCTGGGTTGATTTGAGAAGATTGTGGTGTTTCTTTGTTAGATCTTACACTTGCCCACTTCTGATGGGAAGGACATTCTCTACTTTGTGCTGCATTATTGCATGCCAACAGTTTCTCAAACTCTTCTTCACTTCAAGTTAACCCTATACAAGTATATTAAGGAATACCTAGAATGCTCTTCATGCTAAGTGCACATCCACCACGATACCAGAAGGGTTGGAAATTATATTCCTTCCATAATGCTGTTGAGAACAGGTACTGAGGCTGTGAAATAACTGTGGGAATTCATAAGTGTCTGTGAAATGAAAAATCATGGAGTAGAGAGAGAATATCTCAAGTACTCAGCATTTGCTGTAGTGCTTTTTATTATCCTCAAAGGCAGGCTAAGGATAATTTAAACTATCATAATTTTCACACACAAAACATTAATAAAAATTGGCTCCTTGTTTTGTGTTTTACTAAAAGCAGCTACTACTTCCCCTTATCCCTTCCAGTAATTGCATTAAGAAAGTTAATATTTGACTCTAGCAGTAACCAAAATGGCTTCAAGACTACATTTATGAAATTCTTAGTTGCCTGGGAGATTGTGAAACAGCCACTGAAGCTGCTGACCCGAAGGCTACGTTTGTAGTTTGTGTTTTTGAATCACCTGGGCTGATTATCTCTGGTAGAGGGCAAGGCTAATGAAGATGCTCTGCCTCCAGCACTCAATCCATGATATCCAGAGGCAGCTAAACATCACATCAGGACATCTGTAAAGACAAGTGTCTTACCTATCTAAAGATAGATACTCCCAACCCCCTCTCCCCCCCTGTATATTCTTACTGCAATCACTCAGGGTTCATCTGACTTATTTTAGAGCTTTACAAAATAGATCATCTCTCTAGTGAAAGGAAATAAATGACAAATTTGGGGGCCAATTGCTGTCATTTACTTCAGGCTCTTACTTGAGAACTCGTGCCCCAAAAGCTCAGCTGTAAAGCTCTTTGTTTAATTTGATGCACCCCACCTGTGAACACCTAAATACTGAGAGAGTCACTCATCACTGCACAGCTTCTGAGGCAGCTCATTAATCTTGAGTGTAGCCCTGCCCACATCTGTCCCACGTGGTGCTGCTCCAAGCCCAGTAAATATTTGTAAAGGACATAGACAGCTTTCACTTCCACACAATAGTTTCCTAGAAACCCATATAGAAAGGTTTAACTGAGTAAATACCACTTAGTGATGCTTTGTGTTACCTGTTTGTGGATGTGCAGGAAGTCACTTTACAAGATTTATCATGTCACTGCCAGTGGACAGAAGCTTTTGGAAGATGACAGCACAGAAAAGGTCCTTTATGTGTGCAAATATATTGAAATGACAATTTTTTTTTTAATATTTTCTTCCTGCTGTCTGGAAGAAGAGACAGCAAGAAGAAAACACTTTCTCCTGAAACTGGGCTGAATGATTTTGTGAGGTGCTCTGCTCTATGTAGGGAACAGCTGTGTGAGTCACTGGTGCCTCTGCAGATGTGAATGGGTAGATTGAGCAGGGGAGGTGAGTTTTCTCTGTAGAATCCCAGCTACTCTTTCTTCAAATTACATAAAGAAGTGAACCTTTATTTAGCCCTCCAGGGCTGTCTGAGAGAGGAGTCTGCAACACAGATTCTTCTTTTTGTTCCTTGAGTGCCTACTCATGTTCAGAAGAAACCATTCAGAGTTACTCTCTTTGAAAAAAGTGACTGTATTTAATGTGCATGCCTGAATCATAGAATATCCTGAGCTGGAAGGGACTCACAAGGATTATTGAGTCCAAGTCCTGGCCCTGAACAAGAACATCTCCAAGAATCCAAGCATTTCCTGAACTCTCAGGTTTGGTTCTGTGACTATTTCCCTGTGGAGCCTGTTCCAGTGCCCAACCACTTTCTGGGGAAGAATCTATTCCTGATATCCAGCCTAAACCTCCCCTGACTCAGCTTCAGGCCATTCCCTTGGCTCCTGTCACTGTCACACAGAGCAGAGATCAGTGCCTGCCCCTCCTGCTCCCCTCACAAGGAAGCTGTGACTGCAGTGAGGTCTCCCCTCAGTCTCCTCCAGGCTGAACACACCAAGGGACCTCAGCTGCTCCTCACACAGCTTCCCCTCAAGGTCCTTCACCATCCTCTTTGCCCTCCTCTGGATGCTCTCTAAGGGCTAAATATCTTTCTTATATTGTGGAGACCAAAACTGCACACAGTGCTGGAGGTGAGGCTGCCCCATCCTGCTCTGTCTCCTTAAGGCTGCCATGACCCCCACAAGGAGCATTGTAGGACACCCAGGACACCCTGGAGTCCTTTCAGCTGGCTGTAAGGAAATCAGTAAATAGGTTCATACCTCAGTATATTTCACTTCCTCACATCCAGATCATCTTGGATTATGGAATTGGCTGGTTTTCTTAAAGAGAAAAGCATGATTTCCCCATCTTTTTCTTTTCTTTCAGGCACCCTGTTAATGCCTTATGAAGGCTGACCTAGAACAGAGGTTAGACAGAATTAAAGAATGAAGTAGGGATTTATTAAAAGGCCTCAATGGATCCACCTTGGGTAGTACAACAGCCCAGCCAGGGCTACATGCAAGATGAACCCAAAATGGTCACAAAATGGACAACCAGTCACTCACTTTTATAAATTCTGGTCTGTTAGCATATTGGAGTTAATAGTCCAATTACTGCTTTAGGTTATGGAGTCCCATCCTTCTTGTTTTTCTCTCTTCAGTCCATGTGGTTTATGCTCTTGGGCCTGAAATTTGGATCATTAGTCTTTGGTCCTCTGCTAGAGAAGGAATTGTTTCGTCTCCCTACTGTGTGAAGAGAGTTTACTATGCCCTAATATGAAGCTCAGAATTACACACTAAAGCAGAATTAGAAAAATACAAAAGTTAAAACCTGAGGCATCACTGTGAAAGGCATTTACTATTCTCCCAAACAAAAACCACCACTTAATAAGTTACTTCCTGAATAATTGCACTGCATTTACACATCCTTAGGTGGGATGCAAAAGAGTAACTAGATAGCTCACCTTTGGGGCTGTGTGCAGTACTGAAATAATCAGCAATTGTGGTAGCAGTTGAGGGTCACAGTTATGTGCCATCAGAAAGCTCTCATCTTGCATCCAAGCTTGTTAATCTTTCATGTGTACTGCTACTTCCTTCCTGACTTTTGGTGAGAACAAAATCTTACTGACCAAATCAAGACTACTGGCTGAGATCAGTGCTCATGGAGCTGGGGCTTTCTTTTTTGGCACTGGCTTACTTACCCTTCTCTAACAGTAGACCTAATTTTATTTTAATATGGAAAAATTAAGTTGTCTCTGCCTGAAGAAGAAATGCAGGGAATACAAAAATAGCAAGAAGTTGTGGTTTTATATTTTGCCTTTATTTTCCCAGTTCACCACTGAAAGTTTGTTCATAGCTGCAAGAAGAGACACATTTTGGTGAAAGATAAGCCAAACTATAACTTTCCTTTACAATTTTCCTTCTAATCTCCTGGCAGAATTTCCCTTCAGAAAAAAAATTTAAAAAAGGAATAAAAATTAAACATTAAAAGGCTTCATTAATGTTATCTGTGCTGCACCGTGTGGCCATTTCCTTTCTGTTTTTGACACACATTTGAGTTATGCTCAAGAATATGAAAGCAACATACTCAATATTTGCTTAATGAGAAAAATGGCTTTGGAACTATTCTGGTTGCATAAAATCTGAATTTATGGGTCACACCTGAGCTGAGGCTTTTTGTTGCTTTCTTGTTTGTTGTTTTGTGGTTTGGGGAGGAGAGGGGTTGGGTTTTTTGGTTGGTTGTTGGGAGGGTTGGTTTTTTGGGCTTTTTTGGATTTTTTTTTCCTTTTCTTTGGTTTGAATTGATGTGAGTGTGTTTCAGGCTGGATCCATTGAACAGAACTGAAACCTGTGGGGTTTGCTTTTTCCTGAAACTATTTTTACACATGAGCTCCTTCAATTTATCTATATAGTTTTCTTTTCTTCTCTTGGCATTTCCTCTATCATCTAATAAAGCCAGCTTACAAAGAGAAAGGAAACTGGTTTTTCCTGTAACAGAACAGATCAGATATAGGAATTAATAGAGGATGTTGATAATATTTCCATTGTAGGTTGAAATGAGATGCAGCAGTATTTTTAGGTTGCAAGCACTCATCTGTGAGCAACAAATTTAATTTTTTTAAAGTTTTTAAGGTGTTTTTAATTGAAACTGAAGTCCAGGGTGGCAATACTCTGATTGCAGTTATTCTCTCAAGGTCCTACTGTAATCTTTGAGCTTCATTTTCTTTCAGGTCTTATGGAGCCTTGGGAAATACTGAGTTATTCACTTGCTGAGGGAAACAGGGAGGATGTTGTTTAATATTTTGCTTTGTTTATACAGTGCCATTTGAAACATTTCAGGGCTCTGATTAAACTAGAGGAAATGACTTTATAACTAGAGTTTCTGAAGGCAATATGTTCTGGGACATGTACTCGAGACTTTGTCTGCCTCAAACAATTTTGTAAATAACTTTAATATGGTTGTGAATGCCATGGCTGTGTATCAGCAATGTCTAGAGCATTGTTTGGGGGAAGGAATGTTAGAACATTGTGCTCAAGCTCCTGACAAAAAATATGAATTTATCCTTTTAATGGATAGCTTTTGTTTCTTCAGAGTAAAGAAACAATAAAATAGAAGCCTTCTCTTGTAAAATTCCTTTTTAGGTAGAAAACTGTGTTGATGCACGAATCTTGGATCACTCACTGAATCTTGTTTAAATGAAAGCCATGTCTGAAGTTCCTGAATTAATTCCACTCGCACTGAAATGTTAGCACAGCTTAGATTAAAACATATTAAAAACCTTGCACTTCATTAAGAAGTTATTAATAGAATGGCCATAGCTGGTCATCTTGAAAAAATACATTGTATTATTTTCATCACCAGAATGCAACCACTTTAAAAATAACACCCAATCTGAAACAAAAGGCATTTGGAATAAGCACGAATAAAAATTTAATGCAAAGACTGGCAAATTAATGAAGATGGGTGAGATGATTTTTCCTGATGACAAAGAGCCAATGGCATTGATGCTGCTGGGGGGGACACAGCGTGGGATGCCACTGGCTCTCCCTCTGCCCAGGTGTTACCAGGAGCAGCAGCGCCAGAGCTGTGCTGGCAGAGGGGTCACAGGAGCTCCCAGATGGAGCGGGCTGGACTCTCAGGATGCTGCAGCCTGGGTGCCAAACCCTCCCTGCCCCTGCAATGCTCCCAGGAGCTGCAGCAGCTGCAGATCTGGCTGTGCTGGCCTGAGCTGGGGCCTTCCTGGCAGCCAGAGAGGGCAGAGGGAAGGGAATGGAATGGAAAAAGAGAGTGGGAACAGCTAAATGTCGAGAGGATGATGGGTTATAACCAAATCCTGCTGGCACACTGTGGACTGGCTGTGCCAGCCTTCACTTGGAAGGTCTGAAGGAGTTGCTGCAGTTCTCCTCACCAGGATTTTGGTAGTTTTAAATGCCACTAAACTCTACTAAATGCTGCAATTCCCAGTTAGCCACCCCAGACAAACTGTTTGATTTAGCAGCTGGAAACCAAGGACAGTTGTTCGAGTTCAAGTGATTTGAGAGGGAAAGGGCAACCACATACTTGTGCAAATAATACCAAGAAATTGTCAAGCAGCAAAAGCACTGAATTATGATGCAGAGATAATCAGCAGTGCTTGAAGTCCAAGCAGTAGCTGCCTATCTGATTTTCTCAGAGGCCTCCGAAACAGCTGGAACACTTAAGTCAGAAGAAAAACGGCTCAGAATTGTTTGGGCCTTCTTTTTCAAAGTTATCCAAGCTTTTTGCTTGAATTGAGACCTATAAAACAACCTGAGCTTAAATTTTGGACTCTGCATGGAATATTGTATCAAAATACATAACGCAAACAAGGCTGGTAAGCACAGGCCAGGGGTGCATTGCACAGGCCAGGGGTGCATTGCACAGTGCTCAAAACAAAGCACAGAATTCAGGATGCTTGGTGAATGTGGTGCAAATGACCAAAATTAAATCAGTTGACTTGGCATATCCCAAACACTTGGCATGATGAGCTGGTTACTGGCTATGAGCAGAAAAAGAAAAGGGAGTCTGTAATGAAACTAACATTTCTGTTTTAAAGTATAGTTGTTGCCATGGAGACCTCTGTAATGGACACATTTAATCCTAAAATTCAGCACTGCATCTGAACTGACTTGAACAGTAAATAGGATGTCAGTGCTTGCAAACCATTTGAACAACTGTGAAAAGTTCCTCCTTCCCAGCTGAGATGGAAGGGGTGCATGCACATAAACTGATGATGAAGGATATTGATTACCTTGATGCACTATAAATTTTTTAAGCTATTTATTTGGTTTCATATACCAAAAAAAGATAAGAATAGCACAAATTGCATTATAAGGAAAGTAAAAGGCTGAAACAGAAATCTTTGAAAACAGTTCTTGCAAGCCCAAGGTTTGTGCACCAAACAGTGATTTAACATGCTTCTGTTTACCAGGCTTTTTGAGCATGGAGTCACAAGATAACTGATCTGTCTCTGGTTTGAGCCCTGAGCCATTTCTGTTTTACTTAAGATTGGTTTTTGCCTTATTTTAATCCTCTGTCTGCTTGTACCAGAATGGAAAAATGAGATGACACCCTGCCAGTTTCTAGGACAAGTAAGAATAATACTATTTCTGGGGATGGTGTGTCTCATGGTAGGTTCATTATTCTTTCTAAATTATTATGACTTAAAGCATAAATCTGATAAGTTTTATATCCCATTAAACAAGCCATGAATTTCATTTTACAGAGTCTGAAACTTTGGGTTTTTTTTTCTTGATCCTGCTATGCTTTGGAAGGAGCAGACAAGTTTTATAATGTTGTGACTGAGTTATTTTATTTGCATTAGGTATGTCAGATTTCTCCTTTATTGTTTATGCTTCAGATAAAACAGAGGCAAGATGGCTTAACCCTTAAATTTCCTGCAAAACATCTCCTGTCAAAGAGAGCACCACACACTACAGAAGTTTAAGATCCTCCTTTTGGAGATCACAGAGTGTGAAAGGAATTAAAACAGTACAGGCATTGATTTACACTGCTTTTAAATTTGATAAATTAATTTTTTTCCATTCTGTGGACTGATGCTGTGAACATACCCCCATGCCAATGGGGCTCATTGGGGGAGGGCACTAAAAGTTCATTTTGCTGCTTGATCTCAGTGTAAAACAAGGGCTGCTCTGGAAAGCTCTGCTACCCTGAGAGCTTGATCCCAGCTCAACTCCATGCCTCCAGTGCTGGAACTCAGAGCAACCTCTCTGTTCTCAGAGCTAAGCCTCCTAATCCTGAGGCACCTGCCCAGGCTGGAAGGTGGGACAGCAATAGCAGCATCAGGATAACAAAGGCAAGTGGCAGCTCCTGCCCTGGATGACAAAACTAAAGAGCCCAGCACAGGATTTGTGTGCCTGGGGAGCCTTGCTGAGAGGAGCTGGAGCACAACAAGGAGACCCTGAGCCAGCAGAGCAGGGCTGCAGCAATGAGGAAAATCAGATCCTGAGCTGCACCCATGGGGGCACAGCTGGCTGAGACAGAGACAGGATCTTCCCACTCTGCTCAGCACCTGCCAGGCTGCCCCTGCAGTGCTGTGTCCTGTAGCCATGATGTTTTCTGAAAAATCCTTCCCTTGGGATTTTTTCCTCCTGAGAAGCTGAGAGGCCTCAGGAACA